TTCTATTCAATAGATAATGACCGTGAGAAAAATTAAATGCAGCCAGTACAACGAATGAAAACCAACTCTTACCTGTACCAGTCCAATCCCTTGTGATAATTCTTGTCGAAAAAGTGTACTTCTGGACCAGGGGCTTGAATGTGAGGGTTCAGTCGTAAGAATTCTAACAGAGCCCTAGTGCCAGCCTTCTTCACTCCGACGATTATAGCTGTCGGAAATTTCTTCTGTGGTAAATCGAGGGGAGCGCTACGGCATAATGTCAATGGAAGTAGTTGCAGTAATAATCGCGGCAACATATCACAAAATATTCTGCAAAACTTGGAGTTAGTGTTGGATAAGGTTTGCGGGAAGAAATGACAAAAAATTGAATGAGAAGGAAGAGGCGGGGCCTGTTAATGAGACCTGCTACATTAGTACTCAAAATGGTTTTCAAAGCATAAAAGATAACAAAAAATAAAGAATAGTTGCAATTTCCTAAATAATAGTTGGGTAGAGAAGGAGGAGCGAAAAACAGGATTATAACACATGGGAAAATGAAATGAAAAAATGGATGACTACTGAAAACAAGAAAAATTAAAATCTTTAAAAACCGCATAACGGTGCGAAACAAAGTGAGCATAATGATGAAAACCAATACTTATATAAGAAGCCTCAAAGAAGGATGCTGCGCTCATCTTAACGTCATCGATCTACAGACAACAATGTAACACTTTAACATCACGAGAAAAGTTCAACTCTTCTCACAAAAATCTGGATTGGGAGATCTCCACATACTGACTGGAGTAGCTGTTCGTCTACAGTATCTTAATTAGGTGCAAGTGCATCCTCCAAAAGGAATGAGTGCCTGCAACCGTGGGCGTGGCGACTGCCCAAAGTGGGCGGTCCCGCTAGATAACCCCTCCCATTCGCCTCATCTCATTTAGCACTCAATTAAGACTATCCTATACACTTCATTACAACGAATTTTTGGCGATCTTCGTTGAAAAAATGCTTCATGAAGAATTTGGCAAGGCTTGAAGCGACATTTCCCTTGGGGTATACGAAAGCATGCGGAATTTGAAACCGCTGAAAAACTAGTGCTTATGCACTTTCTAAAGCTGCGGCTAAATATTCATGTGTTGTAAAAAAAGAAATACGTGCCCCTTTGGAAGGCATGAATTGGTGTAAACTCACGTCGAGAATTCGATTAGGATGCCCATGCATAGCCAGCTGACAGCGCGGAATGTGATAGAGCTGTTGCAAAGGGCAGAATTGTATCTAGCAGTTTTTCTGCAGTTGACAAATAGCAGATGTGATGAGATCTGTAAAGTTGCGTGAACACGAAATCAGAACATTACATATTTATCGACTAACAGCCGTAGGACTTCAGAGCGGGCAATTAACAGCTATGGTCAGCCAAGAAGGTGCTTATTAGAGGTAAGAGAGCTAAGGGCAGACAAAATTGCTGACAACTCATTAATTCAGGGCATCCATCGAGATACTCATTACAAGAAAACGCTTGAGCAGCTAAAAAATACTCGAGATGATTGATAGCTCAAAGTTAAAACTCCACCAATACAGGACAAAATCTCTGCGTAACGGTAGGTTGCGTTTTCGACTTGAGAGCCAAGGTAAGTACAAAATAAAAACGTAAAATAATGGTATTCTCTGGACTGGCACTTTGTCGAAAATTGTACGGTTCCTATATCGCCTTTAAGTTTCTTATTTTCCATTGATTTACCCATCCATTATAGGTGGAAAAGAAAGGATAAGTGTTTAAAAGTAGGACTGAGTACTTTTGAGAGGTCGGTAAACAATAATTTCGGTGGAAAAGTAGGTTGCAAGTGAGGCACTCTTCTTTTCTTAGAAACGAAATCACAAGACAGGATTCATGATGGGCATGAAGCCGAATAATAATAAAAAGTGTCAAATAAATTATGACTAAATTCGCACATAAGGAGGGCAATATGGCTCAGTATATTCTGATGCTGACACGACTAAAGCGAATTCGAGCAAATGAGCTAATCACATTTCACGCGGTTTATGCATACACAGCCAAGCAAGAGCACTCTATTCATTTTTTATGCGCAATGCTCTCAAGCATCTGTCATCAACCGAATCCTAAGCACTCAAACTTTTCAGTCACGCATAATGCGGTCCAAATGAGATGGTAAGTCCGAAGGGTCTGGTGGAACACCGTGCAAGCTGATCCAAGTAATTTCCATTATGTAATAGCTTGAACACAGAACTCGTTAGCATCTCAATTACATTTTCCGGCAGCAGCGGCATTGTAGAACGGCCAGTGTCGCGTCTCGCGATGCAAGGCGCTCCTCGAAGTACGGAGGCCGGGGGCATCGGTTACCGCGCTATCCGGCGACGATTACGGTAGCCGAGACGCGTGTTGCCGCGATCGTCTCCGGACCTCTCCTTAATTGGCTCGTTGCCAGCCAGGCGGCTATATAAAGCGGCGGCGCCTCACTTGGGTGCCTTGTTCGTCCTTGTTTTAATCGATTGAGTTTCATTTCTTGTTCGATTATCATTTCAGCCGCTATGCTCCTGTCCTTTTTCGTAAGAGCAGTTGAGCCGGATGTCTTTTGGATTGGAAAGCAGATTCCTTTTTGTTAGCGCAAGTCGACGCGCCTAGTACTATCCGGAAATCATCTACAGGAGCGGGAGGGGACGTGCCGTCGTCTACACCTTGGCGTTGCGCGGTGGATTTGTTGCGCGAAACCTCGAGAGCCTCATGTATTTTTGAGAATGCTTGCAGACGCGCATCGGTAGCATGGGACGGGCCCTCGTCCCGTGTTTTAGTAGTAGTAGTATCTGTTTCCTTTGTTTTAATGTAGTATTTTTCTTTATCTATTTTAGCTGTAGTTTAGTGTCATAAAGATAAACCCCTTAATTAACCTTATGTTTCGTTCTGTCGCGCGTTAGTGCGCAGTAGGCTAGGTACGTCGTTTAGTATCGGGCGAGCATCAGGCCTCGGGTAACATCTAGGTGCCATGAGCCCACCGAGTCGCCACATGGTGCATCGACGCCGAGCGCATGGTGGATGCGGTTTTCCGTCCGCGTGTGGGTTTTTCTTTGGGTAGCCGCGTTTCTAAGTTTCGCGCAGTAGTAGCGCAGTTCCTAGCTATCCCATCCCCCATGCGTGCGTAACGACCCCGTAGTCTACCACGCTCCGCACCTAGTGTAACATCAGGGAAGTAGTTGGACAGGGCATGCTTGTTGCGTCATCTAGGTTACAGGTAACACATAGCATTGCAGCCGCGCAAAGTGTAGCCAGTGCGTGGGGTGACTTAGTGGTAGTTGGTGGCAGCAACTTGCCAACTATGATCCCCAGGGCCCAGCGCATTGTCTTATACTGGTATGACGGGGGACTCAGAAGAGCTATCTGGAGTGGTATGAGGTCGTTGTTCTGACCTTTTAGCCGTAGGGGCAAGAATTCCGCAGGGGTATCCGCAGGGGCTAATTCGCTGTAGGGGCAAAACCGTCGTAGGGACATCCGCAGGGGGAGGCCACTGCAACAATCCCATACCCATGGCTCCAGGTAGTTCTTTCTGGTATGCAGCCGTTTTGCTTTGTTCATGTGTTATTCGCGTCGCTCTACGGGGAACGCTCTGTCCCTTCCTGACCACCTTGTTCAACTACTTGCCTCGCGCCTACTGCTATCTTCCTAACGTTGCGCGCCAGCTGGGTTGTCTCCCTCCTTAGGGTTCGTAGTTTAGGTATTTAGTATGCAATAGTTTAAGCTCAGTTTTGAGTTAGTTTAGCGGGTTGCCCCCTAACATTTTTGCGCAATGTTTCTTCTATGTGTGTATGTTTGTCGTTCAACGCTGTTTAATCGTTCCGGCTGTCCCTTGTATTTTCAGATATGTCCGCTCTTGGCTATCAGAAGGCTCAACTTACGAAAGCGGCTAACAGACTGCGCAAGAAGATCGCGGAGGTCGAACAGGCCAATCTTGTTATGGAAAGCCCTACATTCGAGCCAGGCAAGGACTACGAACTTGTTAAAAATCATACTCGTTTTCTTTCGAACTTATTTTCTTTGATTAGTCGCGCTGCTTCTTCCTTACGCAGCCAGCGGGAGAAGGCGGAGGAGTTTGCTCGTCAGAACCCAGACGAGCATGGAGAGTTTTCCCTTCTCCAGGAGATTCTCGCGCACTGGGACTCCAGTGAGATGGATGATCTCTTGGATGAGGCGGACACTCTGCTTGACCGTCTGGGTAATGAGATCAAACTCCTGCCTAATGCGGATATGCTCTATGATCGTCATGTTTCTTCGATTGCTTCCATGCCTACAGTCCCCAATTCCAACCTGTCACCGGCGTCCTCTAACACCCTTCAACCCTCTGTCCCCACCCAGCAGCTCGCGCAAGATGCGGATGCCGAGCGTGTTACCCATCCGTCGGAGCAAGATCGTCCATCTAATCCCTTATCAGTCGCGCCTGCTGTTCACCCCATTGCGAGCGACTCTGCGATCCTAACACAGGGTGAGCAGTCTTCGCAGCCTCCTCTTGGATCTGGCACCCACCCGGGTAACCCTTCAACGAACCCCACTCTTTCGGCAAACCCCTACCCCCCTGGGATTCCCATCACCTTGCCATATCCTAACTCCCAGACTACTAACCCATCCTCGTCCCTAGTCCCACATCCTCCCGTCTTGGAGCAGTCGTTCACCATACCCGCATACGACATACCAGCATTTCACGGCGACATCGCCAAATTCCCCGCATTCTGGACTATGTTCAAGAAGGCCGTGCACAACAACACCAGTGTACAGTTTCCTTCAAATTCATGTACCTCCAGTCGCGCATGAAGGGAGAAGCAGCTGAAATCATCGCGGACTTCGAACCTAATGAAGAGGATTACGCGGAAGACGCATCATCGAGAGCACTTATAGCAGACCCGAGCTCCTTCGCAACCGTCTCTGGGAGAAACTCAAGCAGCAAGCACGCGCAAGAGATAGTGCTACTTCTCAGCGCACCACTCTGTGCAGCATAAGAGCAACTTGGGCCCAGATGAAAAGACTCAACGAGGAGTCTCGCTCTATTGCCGTACTGAAGACCATCCGTTCGAAGTTCCCAAGGCATACGTGCGAGAAAGTTGGCGAACTAAAGAAGAAGGGAGATCCGATGTGGACGGTTGATGAATTATTGGCAGCCCTCGACGACGTGATAGATCAGCAGGAGAAGATAGAAGACACCGTCCCAGAGTAACTATGCGACATATAACTCCGACTCTGCAGTTCGTCAAAGTTCTCTTTCCCCGCCCAGGTATCCTAGTAAGCAGCCGAGTGGGTCCTCATACGATCAGTCATCTTGTCCAACTTGTTCGCGCAGCTTACGTTCACCACCTCGATACCATTCCGTGAGAAGTCGATCGCCAACACCATACTATTCGCGACGCTCGTCGCGCAGTCCAACACGTCCACCACAACATCGAGAATATCATTGCGTATTCTGCGAACGCGAAGGCCACCGACCGGAGAACTGTTTTGAAGTAAGGAGCGTCAAACAACGCAGAGCCATCGTCAACGAATGCGGACTTTGTTGGTTGTGCTTGAATCAAGGTCATCAATGCAGATTTTGTTCAGCACCTACGTGCGGATATTGTGGTGGAGCTCATCATCCTGCCCTGTGCTTTGATAGACCGCGAGCGTCTTATTACAGGCCATCGACATCTACCTATCGACCTAAATCGCCTAGACGCGTACAGTTTGAGGAAGAAGCGTGTACCTGCCGTCGTGCACAGCACTGTTCGCGCACACCTTCGCCGAATTTGAGCAAGCCAAGGTCGCCTTTGTCATCCAGGCGCCAGAAGCGTTCACCTAGTACAAGACGTACAGGTTCCATTCTACGAGCGTCTAGCGCGCCTCCCGTCTCTCACAGTTCCATCTGCATGAACCAGCAGCCTACCTACTCGGAAGCGTCCGCAGAGTTGCAGGACGGACACCAAGCACATGAAGGCCCACCATCGCCATCTTTATGTGTGGTCATGTGTGAAAAGATGTCCGCAACTCGAATGCCTCGTCTCATGGTAGTGCATGCTTTGACCTACAACTACAGGACTGCGAAGGATGAATTACTAACAATTCTTTTGGATTGCGGCTCGCAGTACAGTTTTATACGTGCATCCTTGGCTCACCATCTGGGTCTGACGTTCAGTGATACACGGACTATCACCACGGTAATATTTGGAGGACATCAACGCAAGGAAGAATCGTCGAAAATCACGCTGAAGTTATGGAATAAGTTCATCAGCTCGATCGAGCTCCAATTTTGGACGTGCGACGTGATAATCACGGTTCCACGCATGAACAACAGCGACGATGTCAATGACGATGACCCGGATGAGAGAGTCGAAGTCGACGTGCTTGTTGGAATGGACAACTACTGGCGAGTCGTCGATCTACATACGAATGAGAGACTTCCATCAGGTCTCGTACTATCTTACACCCGGTTCGGACCAGTACTCTCTGGCTCTGTCGATCATCCATCGAACAGCACCATTTCGACACCGACGCGTGAGCGCAAGTGACCACTGAGGAGAGTAAAGGCGAACCACCAAATTTAACGTAATATTTTTCACTCTTTTCAGTATAGATTTAGTTAAATCATTTAGTTTCTTATTTGTTTTCCTTATGTTGTTATTTTTTCAAACTTTGTCCCCTTTTGTGTTTAAAATTTAGGTCACCCTTTGCCTTCCTGCCAATCACTGCTTGCTCGAGCTGTTGTGCTGAACAGCCTCTCTTCCACTCTGACGGCTAGTACAGGTGCTCTTTGTTCAGGACGATGCCCAGATGAGCTCATACTTTGTTTTTCAGTCTTTTACCCGTTTTCTTCCTTTCGATTTTACTCGGATTGTCGCGCGTAGCATGGATCTCACCTTTAACTGCGCCCCAAACCCGTCTTTACCATTACCGCATACTGCTTTACCTAGTCCACGCGCTACATAAAATTCAGCTCGCGCGCATTTGTTTCGGCTATTCACTGTGGTCGCGAGAGGCTGGACTACGTCCATTCGGCAGCATTTTTACGATTCTGCGTTTTTGCTATTGAAAATCAGCATATTGTGGTTGCAGTTTTTAGAGTTCCTTGCACATAGATATACTTTGCCCCATACCATCAGGGGAGACTTTTTATCCTTGCGCCATAAACATCGGCAGTAAGCTCGCGCGCCCTCATGTGTCGTTTAGGTCGCGCATTGTAGGGTTCGAGGTATGTGGCTTGATGCTGGATCTTTCTGTTCATAATATGGACACTGTGTAGTAAGCATGGTTCTTTTCTATTGCTCGTTGGCCTCGTAAAGATCATGTGTTACAGAACCGCTCCATCAGTTCGTAGCGCATTTTGGTCAAATGGAGCTATGTGTTTGTCTTGCTTCTACCGAGGGAATGGTCCAGGTTCCAGCTCACGAGCAGCAGCCATTACCCGTTTCTACACCGCTCCATGACCATATCTTACTCACCTTCATAGTAGTAGTTTTTCGTAGTAGTTAGTCATTTTACATATAACCATTTTTGAGTACATTTAGCCACCTCATACCTTATCTCAGTATTTACTCACATCACATGATACTCATTTCATAGATATTTTGAGTTTTATTCTGGTGTTATGGTATAATTGCGCTTCGTGCGCCGTTCTTCAAGTTGAAGGTGTTCTCACGGGACGAGTTGATTTCTGAACTTCCATCTTTTTTCGCCGCGCTCCTACCGTGTTACCGATGGGTACCTTCTTTTACTTTTTACCACCTAAAACTTCAGGCAAAGGTAGTAACCGCAAATCCCCGGTGTCATCACGTAACCACCATTCGAACGCTCAAGCCACTGCTTCGGGGGGGGGGGAGTGTCGCGTCTCGCGATGCAAGGCGCTCCTCGAAGTACGGAGGCCGGGAGCATCGGTTACCGCGCTATCCGGCGACGATTACGGTAGCCGAGAAGCGTGTTGCCGCGATCGTCTCCGGACCTCTCCTTAATTGGCTCGTTGCCAGCCAGGCGGCTATATAAAGCGGCGGCGCCTCACTTGGGTGCCTTGTTCGTCCTTGTTTTAATCGATTGAGTTTCATTTCTTGTTCGATTATCATTTCAGCCGCTATGCTCCTGTCCTTTTTCGTAAGAGCAGTTGAGCCGGATGTCTTTTGGATTGGAAAGCAGATTCCTTTTTGTTAGCGCAAGTCGACGCGCCTAGTACTATCCGGAAATCATCTACAGGAGCGGGAGGGGACGTGCCGTCGTCTACACCTTGGCGTTGCGCGGTGGATTTGTTGCGCGAAACCTCGAGAGCCTCATGTATTTTTGAGAATGCTTGCAGACGCGCATCGGTAGCATGGGACGGGCCCTCGTCCCGTGTTTTAGTAGTAGTAGTATCTGTTTCCTTTGTTTTAATGTAGTATTTTTCTTTATCTATTTTAGCTGTAGTTTAGTGTCATAAAGATAAACCCCTTAATTAACCTTATGTTTCGTTCTGTCGCGCGTTAGTGCGCAGTAGGCTAGGTACGTCGTTTAGTATCGGGCGAGCATCAGGCCTCGGGTAACATCTAGGTGCCATGAGCCCACCGAGTCGCCACAGCCAGTTTGGCGCACAGACGGGAAGGTCCCTAATAGGAAACGCCCCACCCGCCCTTCCTAACTCGTTTCTATGCCCTTTCTCCTTGCTGCTGTTCTTAATCATCTCTTTTGGCCCATATGTTCACGACTGTACTGTACTTTCCAGTATGGCTCATTTTTTCCAGATCTAATTGTCTGCACATTCAAGTATGCACTTGCGAGACGTGCGCTCGCGCAACTGGTGCACAGCTGGGACTAGGTAACGAAAAACATGGGGTTGTCCCTGAAATAAGAAGGAATGAATAAGTTGATCGAACCAGTAAGCGCGTGAATGACTTGAAAGAGCAGCACACCCTTGATGTATGGGTAAACTGAAAGTGTGGGTGAACTCATATAAATCGTTTTTCGAGATCCAGAAAGATTAACGCTTGTGGTGTGCGTTCTCCTTCTAGCTGAATTGCATCTGAAAAAAATCATTTGCGTTTGACTCGTAGGATACCGGATTGAAGGATTAGACTGAGGCAGAGCAAGCTCAGAGAAACCCTGACCTGTTTTGGTGAGGTTAATTGAACTCAAGCAGGCATGGAAAGTGGTCGAGGAGAAGAGATTATCATGTAATAGGTTTGCCGAGCAGCACCATGCTTGAAAGGTTTCACAACCAGTTTTGATATCACAAACCAGATTAACCAAACTGAACAAACCCCTACCCATCTCATGCTCACATCACCGTAATTTCTCCATGATGCCGCTACTAATGGCGAGAAAGTCCGGTATCAGAAGATCTGCTCGACTTTGAATGCGAAAGCGATCGTAAACTCACACAATTGCGTACACTGATGACCCGACCGTTCAAGGACCTTATTTCGCATAAATTTTCTTGTTGTGAGGCTCTGTAATTGAATTTTATAGCCACATAAAGACATATTGTCGCAGTCACTTGGAGACACCTGACCTACCAAATAGGCAATCAGCTGCAGTACAACTATATCGACCGTAACCCCACGTACGTTACCTACAGTAACCAACTGTATTAATTGCCGCAGACCCCGTGTTCAGGAGTGGAATTACAACTACCAGATTTTTCATTTTCAAAACTCGCAACAAAATGCCTTTTTATTGGTAATTCTCATACTCTCTCAAGAAACACTCGCACTCATTTCATGCGCAATAAAACAAATAATTTTCGAAGTACAAAACAAAGACATTAGGTTACCAGTATGTGACGCAAGACGTGTCGGGCACCACCCTAAGATCGTATTCTCGGCTTATGGTCGGTAGAGGATGTACCGAAGCGCCAAGCTGCCCTCGGATCAGTTTCTTCCGTTGACATCATAATTATAGGGAGAACCGACATGAGGCCATATGTCAGTTGTGAATCTTCTATGTGAGGCTTGAGACCCGGGCTGACATTGCTCGTAAATCATGGGACATTGTTATGAGCAGATCCTAGAGATTCCTGCTTAAAAAATGAAAAAGTGAACAAGTGCAACAGTCATTGCTATGCTATTTTAGTGGATGTAGAACCTTTCGGAATACATGTGGGAAAAAATGTAAGGTTTGAAGGCGATAATGTCCGCTTTTCAGAAAATTATAAGGTTATCAAAATGTAGCGAAAGATGCCTGAGGGTTGTCCAATTCTATGAAAAGCTGCGTGTCAAAAGATGCCTGTCTTTTTAGAGCAATGGCAGGTAACGTGTGAATTCAGCGTATATGTCAAAACACAAAGCAATTTCTAAAATGACAGAGAAAAACTCAATCCAAATAGCCCTCATCAATTTGTGAAATTGCACCTTTTTGCGCTGTCATCCTTACTTACATCCTCTGTAACATTATTTGAGCCGATGTTAACAGAAAATCCCATTTAGATTTCTGTTTGATAATCTCCTCTGAGAAATCAGCTGTACCTTAACTTATTCATGTGGTATAACTTACGAATAGAGAGGGAACTGGATATACAACGAAAGATACGGAATGGCAAAGAGAAAATAAAAGAGCATGACGAGATCCATTGTCACCTTGAGGGCATAGAACGTCTTCCAAGCTCAGAGTTTCTTCCCCTAGAAACCCTAGTTCTTGCGCCAAAAAACTTCATCCCACATTCCCAAGAGAACAAGTTTCACTTAACGTTTAGTCGACAAGCACTAAAGCATAGCAAAAAGAGATTGATGTGCACGCGGAAGCTAGATGAAATAAGAATTGCATTTTTTGGTCAACCTAAAGACTCATCCTGAATTGAGACAAGTCAAATTTCGATTGAATGGTAAGATTGATCAAAAGGGAGCATATGCAAGTTGAAACAAAGCCCGCATGAAATTCGTGACAGTTGTCCTTCCAGTCAGCTAAATCTGTTTCTTTACAACGACACGTCTTTTTCTCGTACGCCAATGTCATCGCTTCCGTCACTTTCTCGCCTTTTCAACCGCAGCTGTGCCCGAAAAAAGAGAGGCAAAGAAATGAGCCCTAACAGCGGTTTGAAAGATGCAAAAGCCTTTCCAAATTTCTTCAGCACAACTCGAGATCAGACTTTGACTATGCCGCTTTAAATAATGAAGACAGCTGGTGAAAAACAGACATCTAGTGGAGCACCCTAAAATTAGGTGTTTTGTAGATCTATTGTCCTCATTTCCATATTGTTTCGTGGGTGATTGATTGAAGGGTTCGAGCTGATTGAAGATGAATAGGTGAAGGGAGGTGTGAACAGGTGCGGTCATTTCCGGGCAGAGATGGGGTGAGCAGGCATTTGTGGAAAATAGTATAACACAGAGGAGCTGAATATAATAGTAATAGAAATTCTCACTGAAGATTTCCGACTTGAGAGCGTTGAGATGTATGAATTTGCGAAGGTTAATCAGCAGAAGACGTTCGAGCATTCAGCTGAGCTGGAAAAACAAGTGAATAGCGATTACTCAGGCTAAAATGTCGTTGGCCTTGCTTTTGAGTAAAGTGGCCGATTTTTTTACAACATAGGAAAGCGTGCAAAATGAAAAAGTAT